CACCTGAGGGAAGACTGCTATGAAAGATGAAGGCAGGGGTTGTGATTGATCTGGGGTTGGGGGCTGGATGGACAGAGCCGCCTCTGGCTGAAGTGCACATGTTGACTCTGGGCACAGATTAGCATTGGAAAAGGGGTTGAGTGTCACCTGGCCATGTTAGTGGAAGTGTTATCTCTCAGGTTTGCTTCTCATGCATTGTCTTTCCTTGAGTCTCTGGCTCTCCACTTCCATGACCACTGTGTGACTGTACCCATTAGACCAAGGCAACAGACTTCCAACCCTATTCTGGGCACTCACGTGCTAGGGCACAGGAATCACTCCCCGTGCCAGAGAGTGAATGTGATTGACCTTCAGAAAAGGGAGAGATTAGCCAGGCCTGCAGACCTTGGCTGGTTTTCCTGCACTTTATGCACCCTGAGGTCAATCCTGCTATAAGTTACCATGTCAGTGGGTCTGGTATAATCAACTCTTAAATTCAAGGAGATGGAACCTAGTAACCAAAAATTTAAGGTTTTTTTTTTAATTATTTTTTAACTTTTTAAAACAAATCGAATCACTACTACACATTTGAAAAATTGTTCAAAAATTGTTCATTGGGTTTCATTCATATAGCATTCCAACACCCATCCCTTCATCAATGTATGTTTCCCATCACATGTGTCCCCAGTTTCTCCTCTGCCACCCTAGCCCACCCCTAGCATGCCTATGTTACAGGCACTTTTCTATAAACACAGATTTGGTAAACACAGTGGAGTTCAGAGAAGAGCAATAGATGCTCTGAAAAGAAATGGAAGTTACAGATATCTACCTTTTTGGGAGAGGGTCTTGGGACCACACCGGTGGTGTTTGGGGAACTATTCTCAGCCTGTGCTCTTGTGGGTTGCCCCCGGGAGTGCTCTGGTACTGTGTGGTGATGAGAACTGAATCTAGCTTCCTGCATACCAAGCATGTGTGCACTCAGCCCACTGAAAACAGTCCAGCTTTCTTTCCAGCCCAGGTTATCTTGAGCCCCTCAGTATTTGGTTGTCCTTATGTGTGTGTGTTTGTGTGGACATCTTTGTTATGTTTTACCCAAGGAGAAAAGGGAGATGGCTTGGTTTGTGGTGTTATTGGTCAGACTTGCTTAAAATAATGATTCTAGTTTAAAAATTGTGATGAAAATTATGATGATGGTTAAAAAATAAAGAGGATAATACTTGACTTAAATTCTCAAACCATCTGCTCCGACTGAGCGGGGCATCTTTGGGAAGGGAATGCACTGCTCTGACCCCCTAGAGAGTTGACAGCATGGGGACAGTTTCTCAGGACTCAGCCCTAATGTTTGCATACCCCACGCTCACGTGCCTTCTGTCCCAGTACTGCAGCCTGCTTCCTCTTGTGGAGCAGATTCCTGTGCCTCCCCAGAGGCTGCCAGTTAGGGCTTCGCTTTCCTCTGGCCAGCGTTCTGTCTTTCTAGCAACAGATGTTTCAGCAAAGTAAATATTTTTGACTCTGCTTGGCTCCTAGCTGTTCTGCACGGCCTGACAGGGAACAGTGGGTTATGTGACAGGGTGCCATGAAGCCTTGTGCACCCGTAACAGAGCCCCCCTTTTACCTCCCTCCTCCCCTCCCCTCCCCTCCCCTCCCCTCCTCTCCTCTCTCCTCCCCTCCCCTCCCCTCCACTTCCCTTCCCTCCTCTCCCCTATGAGGCTTAGGTGCCAGTGTGCCTCGTAGTAAACACTCCTAAAAGAAACCTCTGCACATCGACACAAGAAAACTTTGGCTTTTAAATAGACCAGAGGCTAAGACTTTTGGAACCTCTCTCTCTTTTTAAAAAAATGTCTTCTCCAGTTTTCCATGTAACAAAAAGCAGTATTCACTTACTGATTGATTGGTCACCTGCTAGTGGAGCTCAGGGGGTGGCAGCCAGAGCCTAGTCTGCGGAGTGGGCCTGGGGGCTTAGTTTTTCAGGGAATACCAGGCCACACCTGATGGTGGTTGGGAGTCACTCAGGGATCTAACTCAGGGCTCTGACAACTTAAACTCTCTCCCCAGCCCTTATTTTAACTGGATTAGGTAACCCTAGGGGGCCCAGTGTGATTCAGATTTGCTAATGTGATCTAGGTTTCTTTCTAGAGTTCTTTTATGGAGTCTTTAACTTACGTAAACGCCCAAGACAGGGAGTCTTGCTTCCCTTCCCCAAGTCCTATCACTGGAGGATTTATGTATTAGGGAAGAAATACCCCTACCTTGTCTGGAGTGGAAATTCCTAGTATGCAAAGTACTTACAGTGTGTCCCATTGCATCTCCTGACAACCTGATGGACCAGGTAGGGTTAGTTAAGTGGTGGAGCGAAAACTTGAGACAGAAGCCAGCTGAGATTGGGGTGTGACTGGGAAATGGTCTGGTCGGCTTATAATCAGGATCCACAGTGCAAGTGGATTGGGGTGTGTGTATGGAGGGGAGGTTCTCTGACACAGGCCTGAGATGCCCTTCCCAAGACAAAGAATGGTGTCGCTTAAGCAGCAGCACAGATATTCATGATCTCTTTTGAAAGCTTATTCTCTGAGCAGGAGTCATTCGATCCATGGCGCACTCTTTTTCAGATTCCAGTAGCTGGGATTCTTGCACACCCCAGCTGTCCCCACTGACCTGCTGCCCGTTATTGACTCCACACCATATTCATCAGCCTGCTTTCTACCAAGAAACTGACCTCTTTACCTGCTTGAGAGGGGCTTTTGCGGCTCTCACTGTGGCCTGGTACACAATGTGCAGCAGACAGAGAATCAGTCTCCTCCCTGGTCAGAGGCACCCACATAGGCTTGCTGTGTGCCAGGCATCCCTTGATGCTCCTTGGCAGCCTCTCCTGGCAGCTTAGCTTTTCAGGTTTGTGCTGGGAGCTTTCCTAGGTCTGCCTTGCATTTCAGTTCTTTTCTACTCTTTTGGGAAGATTGGTTTGAGTACTTCTTTGCCCTGCTGGGGGCCGCACAGGAGGACTATCAGAGGACAGAGAGGCCACCTTGTTATTAACTCTGTACTCAGGCATTTCTCTGTGAATTCTCTTGGGGCAACATTCTAAGATAAGATGGTGCAGCCAAGGCCACATTCCCTGCACGCCACACTTGGGGGCTTATGGAGAGCTTTGTCTTCTGCTCTGAAAGACTGTTTTCTTCTTTTCTGCCCCCCGCCTGCCTCTTACCTCCTATGGTCTTCCTGTCCTAGGAGTTCTGATTTTCAGATGCATCTGTGTCTTTGTTGGCTTGCCAGGGAGTGGTTTTTGTTCTCAGGGATATCCTCAGCCCGGGTTGGTCACTGAGACGAGAGGCCCAGTTTCTCTGCCTGCTTATTTGTCAAACAATATGCGTTAAAGGGACCAAACCAGAGAGAGACTCAGTACCATTGACCACATGCTCCTGTATTCATTCCAAGTGCTGCCTTCCTTTGGGGTATGGGCAGAGGGCCTGCCACCAGCCACAGTTAGCTTGGACTCATGTCATCTGAGGGTTTGGAGGGGCAGTCCCGGAACAGGAGCCCTATGTAACAGTAGCCTGAGCCCCAGACTTGAGGATAGCAGGATGGCCTCATCTTGACACCTTCCCTGGAAGCCACTGGTTGGAATGAGTATTCGGATTGATGAATTAAGCCCTGGGTATTGGATTTTCCACATAGATGTCTGTACCTACACACACACACACACACTCTCTCTCTGTCTCTCTCTCTCTCTCTGTCTCTCTCTCTCTCTCTCTCTCTCTCTCTCTTTTAGATTATTCAGTACGCACTGAGCAGGATGCTGTGACAAATTTGTGGAGAGTCAACAAACTAAAGATGGGGCAAAAATGCCAAACATGGCCTGAACTTCAAGGGACAAATCTGGGACCTGAAAAAGTGTTGAAAAAGTCCTGAATGCTTTTATTCCCTGGATTGTGTGGGTTGATCTCTGACCAGGAACCTTCCCCTACCCCTTCTCCCGGAGTATCTTATTAAAGCCAGACCTTGTTGCCAGTTATGCCTCATATTTCCCTCCCCTGGGAATTTGAACATAATGCCATTTCCCCTTCAATGAGGGAAACATGCATGAGGGTAATTTGAATGATTAGCTTAATCTGCAGGAAGACTGCTTTGTGGAATTAAGTTAAGCATATTTGTACCGAGCAGCCGTGTCTGTCAGGCTACTTAAAGGTACCTTGATGGTTTTATATCCTTAACCGAAGCTGAGGGTTCAGGAAGGATCATTGGCTTTTATTACTGTCTTAAATGAAAGCTTATTTTTAAAATTTGACAGGGGCCTATGCGAGCTTTCTTTATAGGTACCATGTGTGGAGTGTGCTTTTACCTCAACCCAGCCATTGTCAGGGCTTTGTTCCCGTGACTGCAGTGCCAGGTGCGGACCTTGGGAAATGGCTTAAGTAGAAATTTGTCACCTTCACCAACTGTTGTGCTTCTAAGGAGAGTTGAGAGTGCACTGAGTATTCCAGATCACGAGTGGGATGAAGCAGTAGTTCGTTCGGGTGCTCCATGCCAGGGTGGCTGGACAGTTCCAGGTTCCTCGCTGCAACTCTCTGCCTAACATCAGTCTGTCATGTGACTCGTACTAGTGGAAAGTATACTGTTGTGGTGAATGTGGCGGTACCTCGTGCCAGAGGGAGACTCTGTGGCACTCCCCAAGGCTGTATGTGCTGATGTCACTGCCTCATAATGCCTCTACGATGGCCTCAGAACAAATTCCCACCTGTATCAAGAGGGGACGACAGGGCTAACACTGTTTGACTGATTTGAGGAATTAATTGGTCTGGGATTGTTATAGCAAATATGATAAAAATATCAATGTCTAAGCCAAATCCATTTTTCAGGTTATTAACAGATTTATACTTTGTAAAATTTGCAGATCTTTCTTCTTTTCTGCTTTGAAATGTATGCGGGAATAAATCTCTGCTATGCCGATAGAGCTGAAAAGCATAACAAGTAGAAAAGACAGTTTATTTTAGTAATTTTTTCTTCTTTTCTGCTCTTTTTCGCACTAGATTTGTCTTCGGCAAAGAGGAAATTTGCAGATTCCTTAAATGAATTTAAATTTCAGTGCATAGGAGATGCTGAGACAGATGATGAAATGTGTATAGGTAAGTCAAAATTGCATGTAAGTAAAAGTTCATTTTTTTTTAATCGAGTCACTGTGAGAAACACAGTTACAAATTTGTTCATGATTGGGTTTCAGTTGTACAGTGTTCCAACACCCGTCTGTTCACCAGTGTCCATTTCCCACCACCAGTGCCCTCCAGCCCCTGCCCCAGCCTGCAAGAGTTCACTGTTAAACAGAGCTTCTCTTTCCTGATGTCCTGAGCCTGTTCTCCTATGATAGGAAATGACTCAGTGTCATGAATATGGAATTCTAGAGTAGCAGTGGAAGGGCAGAGTTCTGTGAAGATCAGACGCCCTGTGGCCTGCTGAATGCTTGAAGATTTGCTGTGGGCTTCCTCCTTCCATGTGCCATCAGTGTTCTTCTTCCAGCTGTTTTTGTGTCATTCTTACTTCTGCCTCAGAACAAGAAGCTCGAGTAAAACTAGAATGCAAGTCAGTGAGGAAAGAATTAGATCAGAGACTGCCAAATGATAGCTTGGTGACTGAGATCAGAATGCAGCCCCATTTTCCTTGGCCCTGATTTAAAAAATTGAATTACCATATAAATAGAATTTATCTGAAGTTCCAGTTTTTGCAGCTTCTTTAAAAACCGGAGACTCTGACAGCTCCCTGAGGAAGTGTCTGGCCCTGTAGAACTGCTACCACCTCCCACTGAGAGGAGGTTGGTGTCCAGTTTACTGTGGGCCCCTCTCTCCCTGAAGGTGGAATTCCCACTCACTGTCCATCTGAGTCACTTCACTATTCCCCATCACCTCCCAGGATCAGTGAAGAAGCCACATAGGCCATGCTGCACACAGAGGATCTGGGGCATCAAGATGACAGTCTTTTTTTGGTCAACTTTAGTTATCACTCGTCATTGACTAAATCCTTGTTCTTACCCAGGCCATCTTGATCGGCTCCATTAAATGAGCAAGAATTGGGGCTGGAGCAATAGTATATTGGGTAGGATGCTTGTCTAATATGTGGCTGGCAGGGCTTTGATCCCTGGCACCTCATAGGGTCCCCCAAGCCTGGCAGGAGTGATTCCTGAGCTAAGAGCTAGGCGTAAGATTTGAGCACAGCGGGGTGTGCCCTCCCCCCCCCCCCCAACTGAACCCAAAAGCAAGAATTGTGAAAATCACAGAGAATTGTGTCCTCAATGCTTCTCTGCAGAGCATGATCTGTGATGAGAAATGTGGCTAGGAGATAACTCAGAACAAGCAGAAATGACTTCCCCCACTGCACATATGGCCCGGATAGCCATCCGATGATCACACTTGGTGCCTTCGTGAGTAACTCTGGCAAAGGAGATTATCAATGTCTGACTGCCATGCTGTAAACTGCATCACTTATGAGCTGGGAGTGTGTGAACTGAAGGAGAAGCTGTGACATTTGATACCAGTTGCACTGTTTGACTCATTCTGGTGCTGAAGAGAAGGCTAGTTTGTGATGCAGTCCCAACCACAAAGATTGAGAAGATTGAATCTCAGGCAGGAAATCCTTCATCTCATAAGCGGAAGTCTATCCCCTTCCACCCAGGGACCTGGCAGCCTTTTAGGCCTCTCATCAGTCTTGGATATTCTCAGGAATAGGCAGTCTTTTCCTTGAAGGAAATCCTTCTCGGCCTAGATTGTAAGATGGCTTTACCTGCTTTTTTGTATCATCTTTAATGATTGATGATTAAAAGCTAAGGGGCACCTTGGAAAGCAGTTGATGTCGGCATGTGCCAAGGGCTTGCAGTCCTTAATGGTAACTGCATCAGGGAAGTTCCCAAGATCTGTTATGCTGCTGCCTCTTCTTGACTCCTTTTTCTGTTTCAGCACGGTCTTTGCAGGAGTTTGCCACTGTCCTCAGGAACCTTGAAGATGAGCGGATACGGATGGTGAGTATGACCAGACTGCCCTTGGTCCCACGTACTGTGGTTATATCAAAGGAAGTAAGGCATTTATTGTTAAAAGAGTGGGTTCAAGTCCAGGCTCTTGTACTCAGGTACCTCGAGCTCTTGAGCAAATCTCAATTTCTCATGTTTTGCTGGGCTTGATGCCTATTGTAAATGTTAAAGAACATATGTGTGTAGCTTCAGAGCCACATTGTGGTGTTCCTAAAGATACATTATAAATGTATACATATAAGGTAAATGACTTCAGGGCGATTCTTTGGAACTGTTTCTCTTCGGGTATGAGGGTCTTAAATTCTCTATCAGCAGAGTGGGAATGAAGGTATTCCCTCTGCTTACCCTGTTCTTGCCATAGAGAGTCCAAGCATTCTTAAAGGTCAGGAGTTATTCCTTCACTTTGAATTTTGAAGTTCTTGGTAAGTACCTGCTATGTATTAGGTACCCACTAAGTGTGTACTTAGTGATGGGAGCCAATATGAAGTTCTGAGAATAGTACACGGGGCACATTCAAGAGTCAAATGCTGTTCTACATTAGGAGAGATATATTTGTATTAGGCTTTATTCTAATGTGACTCAGTAGCCACAGTACGTTCTTCTATTTCCTCCTCCTTACCCCCAGATGTTAGAAACAAAATCAGATCAGCCTGCTGGCTGTGTTCCCATTGTTCTCCTAAAGTCTCGTCTCTGGGCAGCAACACCTTTGAGAACTAGGGAAGAGTCCTCAGGGATCTTCCTTCTCATACTGACACCAGAGAGTGTGGTAGTATGGGATTAAGTTTACTGGCATAGATGGATTCCTTCTTCTCTGTAGATAAAAACAAATCGTCCCTACTTTGCTTTTCATATCTTTGGTGTCCTTTATGACCTGCAAGAGATGCTTCACGGCTTGGCAGCAAATGTGTGGACATTTTTCCAAGAAATTCTTTGTGACACCACCTGGATATCTTACAGTTTAACTCAATTCTGTTTTCCTGGAGATAATGTCAGATTTCATAGATTAAAGATTCAGTCTCACAAACCCCCCCAATCCGTCCCCCATACTGTGCACATTTCAGTTGCCAGCCACAAGTTTGGTTGTCTTCTGGGCTTCTGACCAACTAGCTGTAGATTGGAGATGCCAATACCTCCCTCCTTGGGTTTGATGAAATTGCTAGAGTAGCTCACAGGACTAAGAGAAGCACTACATTTTTCAGTTGACTTCAGAAGGCTATGATAAAGTTGGGCGGGGAAGGGGTCTGGGGAAGGGGTCGGGGGATTCCGTGCCCTCTCCAGGCATGCCAGTCCTCTGCACCCCGGTAGACTCTGAGCCCTGTATTTTAGAGACTTTTATGGAGATTTCATGACATCGAGGTGATCAGTCATTAACTCTGTTTCAGCCCTTTCTAGACTGTGGGTGGTAGGGATGAAAAGCCTAAGTTTCTAATTATGACTTATTCTTTCTGGTGACCAGTTTTCATCCAGGACCCCATTCAGAACCAGCTCATTAGGGCAAAAGTTACTCTGATTGCCCTGAAAATTTCAAGACTGACTGGAGCCATGTTTCAGGAACCAGGGCCAAAGACCAAACGTTACAACAGGGATGTAGTACTCTTACCACCCAGTGAATTATAAAATCCTGGGAGATATATTTATCTCTTTCTCTGTATATATATAGATAGATATGTATATAGAGAGAGATAGAAAGACATATAGATATAGATATATAGATAGACACACACATACACACATATATACACATATGTGTCTCTATATGTCTATATCTCTCTAATTACATGGGCGTATTTTTATGTAAAATATTTCTTATAATCACAATATCACAGACTGCCATAATAAAAAGCCACAGATTGGTATCTGAAAAAATAAATATTTACTTCTAAAATTCTGGAAATTGGGAGTCAGAATCACAGGATCACAACTGACTCAGTTCCAAGGGAGATTCCTTTTCTGCCTTGAAGATTGCTGTCCCCCTGTTGTGGTCTCACATGGAAAATGAAGGGAAAGGGGGCCTTGCTTGTTTCTTCTCAAAAGGCACCAACCCCATCCAGAGACTTGATGACTTGATCACTTGACTTCCCATTAATCGTTGATTTGCTCGAGCGGGCGCCAGTAACGTCTCCATTTGTCCTTGTTGAGTGCTAGGGTAGCCCAATGGCATCTGTTCGTTCTAGGAACATGAAGAGCCTGAAACTGATCATTCAGGATCTTGATGAAGAAGTGTGACCATCTGGTAGGTGTGCGGCCACGCGGTCTTTTGACATCCCGTGGAATCCAACTCTAGTCCAATGGTCGTCTCTAAATCTCATTACGTGACCAGCCCGTCTGATTTTTGACGCCTTGGCATATGAGACAGCGTCCCTGATTCTTGATCGTCGACGGAGGTTGAAACTCCGGATTCTTTCTCTCATTTGAGTGAAACGTGGTACTCCAAGCATAGCTCTTTCAATTCCTCCTTGACAGACCCGAATAGCATTCTCATTCTGTTTGCGTAGGGCCCAGATCTCTGAGGCGTATGTTAATGCAGGAAGAACAGTGGAATCAAAAAGATGTGCCCGGAGTCAGAGGATTCAGCACCATCGACCATATCCACACAGTAACCGAGCTCATTGAGGTTTCTTGGGAGTTCAAGATGCCACTCTGTCTAACATTCATTGATTTAAAGAAGGCCTTTGATTCTGTTGAGACGGAAGTGGTCAATCAGGGCATTCAAACTCAATACATCAGGATCCTCCGTGAGCTGTATTGTGGATTCACTACCAGAATCTCACCATTCTACAAAGAAGTAATCATTGATGTCAAGAGAGGGGTTCGTCAGGGTGACACCATTTCACCGAAACTCTTCAGTGCCACCCTCGAGAACATCATGCGACGACTGGAATGGGAAGAAATGGGAGTGAAGATAGATGGTTGGCAACTACACCACCTCCGCTTTGCTGATGACATTGTTCTAATAACACCAAACATTAGCCAAGTGGCACAAATGCTTGCCGACTTCCGCCATGAGTCTGGAAAGGTCGGACTGCATCTGAATCTTACGAAGACAATGTTTATGAGAAACAGCCTCATTCCTGACACTCCATTCGTTCTCAAAGGAACGACCATCTCCGAATGCAATAGTTATGTGTACCTAGGTTGAGAAGTCAACATGACAAATGACCTGGCACCTGAGCTGTGCAGGAGGAAGAGAGCGGCTTGGAATGCCTTCAAGAGCATCGAAGAAATAGCTAAGAGGACAAAGAACCTCCGCTCCAGGGACTTGATCACCTTATAAAAGGTTCCATGTCCAAATATTGTTTCATTGCAGGTGTGACAAGATAAACTGAGACACATTAGTTTCTTGAATTTATTTGAGCAAAAATTGGTTTAAACTAGGCACCACTGACACATAAGTGGTTAGGACTAAGTTTGCAGAGATAACGTGGAGGAAAAGAGTAGTAGTTCTTTGGTGTGGTAGCTTAACACGATTGGGTGATTTGGGAAAGTATAGTTGGCTGTTTGTGATTGGTTCCCCTTAATTTCAATTTCTTAATGTTGAGGCATTTATAGTCTTGGACTTTGATTGGTGTGCTCATGTAGGGTGCTAAATATAAGATTCATTTCATTTGGCTAGCCTCCTCTGTTAATTATTCCAACAAGGGTGGGGCCAGAGCAATAGTACAGAAGGTAAGGCACTTGCTTTGCACTCAGATGACCTGGTCTCAATCCCCAGTATTCCATATGGTCCCTTGAACTTGCCGAAAATGATCCCTGAGTACAGCTGGGTGTGGCTCCAAAACAAAACAAGGACCAGAGAGAGAGTGCAGCTCGTAAGGTGCTTGCCTTGCATGTGGCCAACACAGGTTCAATACCCAGCATTCTGTGTGGTCCCCTGAGCACTGCCAGGAAAAATTCCTAAGTGCAGATCAAGGAGTAAGCCCTGAGTATCTCTAGGTATGACCCCCCAAATAACCAACTAAACAAACGAAAAATAAAAACAAAACAAAACAAAGGAAAACAAGCAAAAAACACCACAAACCCAACAAGGTTAGCACTTCAACATTAGAATTTGGGAGGGGTTTTGTTCAATTTTTAGCATCTACTAAGACATGCGCTCAAGTGTTTTCTATTTTAATCCTAGTTTTGACTCTGAGTGATGACTCTGACGTGGTTCCTCTAGTGTCCCTGTTATCCACATGAAAATACTGAGGTTTAGAGAGCTTATGAAAACATGCCTCAAAGTGCCACAGTTGAGTGCCCAGTCTGAATTCAAAGGAAGGAGCGTAGGCGTCACACCAAAGAATGCGTGATTTCTTTCAAACCCAAACAGAGAAGAATCGTGGTAATTTCTTTCAAAACCAAGCCAGAGAAGAATTGTCTGACTTGCACCCCTCAGAGAGACATCACTGCCCTTGATTACTCACCCCTGTGTCCTTGGAGCACCATGAAGGGCCATATCGGCAGCACTGGAGTTGGCCGTAAGTGGAGGCAGGGCCAAGTTTGTGTGTTTATGCACGTGCTAGTGCCTGAGAATGGAAAGTGATTTTTTTTGAGTCTGATTCTTGGCCTCCTCAGTATTTCGGGGGTGGAGATGTGGTAGGCATATCATGATGAATGCCCTGCAGATTGCTGTGGCCTGCTGGAAGAGAACAATGGCTAGATTATATTTTTTAGCCAACCTCTGCAATTTGATTATTAATGCCAGTGAACCGAGTTTCTACTCTGTCTGCATCTGAGTCTTGAGCTACGGCAAGCCCCTTTGCTGCCTCCCACTCCAGGGCAGCAGAAAAGCACAGAGGATGCCTTTGGAGACACCATCCCTGACTTTCTGGATAATCTGACCATCCTTCTAAGGTTCATTCTAAGCAGTGTGGGCCCCCACTTCCTGTCCCTGAGCAATAAAGAAATCTGCATATAAGGTGTGGGGAGAGAGCACAGAAGCTCCGGCGCATGCCTTGTGGGTAGCCAACCCTGCTGGTTTGATCCTGGTACCACATGGTCTCAGGCATTGCTGGGTGCAGTCTCGAAGGTCCCTGTGTGCAGGAAACCCCCAAACGACCCTGGGGGTGGCCTGAGTAATCCTGGGGACTACAGAATCTGACCAGCACCATGTCCTCAGACTTAGATTGAACCAGCAGGCCCATGGTCAAGAATCACCATGAGGGACCCCTGGACCTTTGAGCAGTGCTTGGAAACCTTCTTAGAAAGATCTTCATAGAACTTTTTGTTTGTTTGGGCCATACCTGGCAATGCTCAGGCATTACTCCTGACTCTGTGTTCAGGGATCACTCCTGGAAGTGCTCAGAGACCATGTGGAGTGCTGGAGTGCTGGGAATGTAACTTGGATTTGCCATGTGTGAGGCAAGTACCCTTCCTGCTGTGCTGTCACTCAGGCCCCTCTATATAACTTTTGACTCATGAAAACTTCTCTAGTAGCATGCAGTTGACTAGAAGAATACTTACCAATACACTGTTGAGGAACACATATTTTGTATTTTATATGTGTTATATGCTCTATTATAATAAAGTGATCTGAGATATATTATTAAGAAAATAGTAAAAAAAATCCTTTATAGTACTGTATTAATGAGCAAACTTGTTTGCAGTAAAATTTGCATGTAAGTGACCCTGTGTAGTTTAAACCCTCTTTGTTCAAGGGTCAACTGTGTTATTGTTTTTTGGGGGCCACAATCAGCCATACTCATGGCTTACTCTTTGTACATGGATCCCTCCTGTGGACTCAGGGGACCATGTGGGATGCTGGGGATCAAGCCCGGATCAGCTGTGTGTAGACAAATGCTCTATCCACAGTACTATTGCCCTAGCCCAACTGTATTCCCCCACACCCCGCCCCTTCCTGACCAACTGCTTTTTCTTATTCTTTAGTTCATGCCCTTGATTTTATATTAGGGGCCATGTCTGGGCCCTCAGATGAATTCTGAAGGGTAGAGAATGGGCTACTGTATCTTCACCATCAACATAGAGCTTCAAACAGTGAGTGGACATTACAGTCACAGTCATAGATACAGAGGTTCCTAATTCATCTGCAGCCTCCCATTGAGGTCTTGTGAAGACAGAAGAAGAGTAATAGGACTGGGACAAGGAGCTAGGCTTATGGTAAGGTGAATAGTGTCCTTAGCATCTGGATTCTGAAATGTGGGTTTCCATGGGAACATCTTAGGGAGTTGAAACAATGTTGATGCCTGTGACTAAGTGGAGAGATTTTTGATTGAATTGGTCTGGTGTTTGGCTTGGTCATTGGGATTTTTCAGCTCCCCTGGTGATTCTAATATGCACCTAAGATTAGACCCACTGACTAGGAGTTCAGCAGAACTCTTCAAAAATAAATGCTTTCAGAATGGAGGAAAACACAAGTGGCAGGAAATACTTTTGGAGACCTTCCACTTATTTTCTCCCTCCAATTGCAACTAGTTCTTTGCTGTGTCCATCTATGACTTCTGGCATTTCTGTTGGTTTCATTGCAGTGGATATGCATGTGATTTAGAAAAATAATGCTTTGTTGCAATGAGATTCCTGAAATAATTAGTTGGGTGATGAGGGAGCAGTGAATGACTTAAAAGGAATGATCGCAGAATTCTGTGCTGCCTTTGAGAAGATCATAGAACTTTCGAGCTGAGACAATTCAGCCTACTCATTTTCGGATGAGGAAATTAGAGCCCAGAGAGGTTAAATGTTTAGCCCATGGTCACACAGTTGGCAGTCAACCAAGAAATGATTTGTTCACTCTTTTAGTCCAGAGGTTTCTAAACATACTTGGCTTACTGTCTCATTTGTAAAATGCTCTCCCTCCCCAACTTCCACCCAGTTGCACTAAAGGCTGATACTTCCTGATAGATTATTCCAGTGGGGTGTGTGTGTGTGTGTGTGTGTGTGTGTGTGTGTGTGTGTGTGTGTGTGTGTTTTCCATCCTTTCCATAGGCAAGTGAAGTATATCTCCCACTTTGGAAAATGCTGATTAGATCTTTCAAATATATTTGAGTGTGCCTATATTATGGCAGTCTTCTGTGTCTTGATGATAGTGGAAGCCAAGTGAGAATTTGCAGGCTGCTTCTGCATGTGTGTGTGTGTTTATCTGGTGATGGACAGACTGACTTTCATCCTTTGAAGAAGACCCTTCAGATACTTGGCATGGTTAGTATTGTAGCTGGATTGCATTGATGCCCAGGGAGAGCTTCCTTGAGGTGAACTTGAAGTTGAAACAGGAATTATAAGAAGTATAGACTTTTCCACACAGGGATGGGAGGGTCAGAGGATCTCAGGAAAGTGCCAGAGGCACAGCTGGACATGGGATGGGTTTGGAACATTTGAGGTGCCTTGGAGCACCGTGTGGTTGGAGAGAGGGAGCTGAGAGGGCACACTGTGAGGTGACCAGAGATGCAAACTGGTCAGGAGGCCCAGAGTTCCGGTCTCCATCAGAGTTGGTGGGACTGTGCAAAACCAGACTTGAGGGTTCTCATGGTGCCAGATGTTCAAGGGTGTTTTGTTTTTGTTTTCAACACAGACTCAATGCTTATCTGCTTTAAATATATCACTTAAATATAACTTGAGTGGATGAACATGTCTGAAACGTCACTGGAAACTTGAAGTCCAGACTCTGTTCTTCTACCAATCTCTGTGCCTCCAGTGGTCACATGATTTTAGCAGCTCTCATTTTATTTTTAAAAGAATTGAGCACCCCCCCCCCTCCCCTGCCATGCTCAGGGAGAATGCATTACACTTTGAACTGATGTCAAGATTGCATTGCGAACAGTTACCACCTATACAGTATTGCTCAGACTTCATACTGAGAAATGGGGTAGGCGTTTTGTGGCCAGCTCCAGATGTTCTTTGTTGATAATGCTTTTGTGTCTCCTTTTTTTCTTTTTTCGCCCTCACTAGATTGACAATGCCAATGAAGTGCTCATCACTCCCTTGGAGAAGTTCCGAAGGGAGCAGATTTTGGTTGCCAAGGTGAGACTCTCAAAAGCCTTGTTCTTGGACCTCAGTGTGGGATGTCTTCAAACCCGCTTCGGAAAAGTCTCAGTCCTCTGGCTGCAGCCCAGCCAGGGTTGATAAGCCTAGAACACAACTCATCTGGTTTGTACAAGAGTCTGAAGCAAATCACCTAAATGGTCCACACAACAGCAGTCATTCTGCTACTTTGTCACTGTCACTGTCCTCCTGTTGTTCATCGATTTGCTCGAGTGGGCCCAGTAACTTTGTGAGACTTGTTACTGTGTTTGGCATATCAAATACGTCATGGGTAGCTAGCCAGGCTTTGCTGTGCAGGCGAGATACTCTCGGTAGCTTGCCGGGCTCTCTGAGAGGGGCAGAGGAATCGAACTTGGGTCGTCCATGTTGGCAGCATGCAAGGCAAACTCCCTACCCACTGTACTGTCGCTCCCACTTCATGATTTTGTTTCAGTTGGCAATTGATCCAGAGGCAGAAACTTGGGCATTTGACAAAACCAGTGATATATCTGGAGGACCCAGGGCTGAGCCCTGTGTTTCAGAGGTCCAGATGAAAGGGAGGCAGTTGGTAGTAGCTTTGGACAGTGTCTGCGGTTTGTGGAGGAGGAAGATCCTCTGTCTGTACATCTTTAAATTTTCTGAGAAACTTTCAAAAGTCTTTTTTTAAAAAATATTTATTTATTTGTTTGCTTTTTGGGTCACACCCAGTGATCCACAGGGGTTACTCCTGGCTCATACACTTAGGAATTACTCCTGGCTGTGCTTGGGGGACCATATGGGATGCTGGGAATCAAACCCGGGTCGGGCCACGTGCAAGGCAAACACCCTACCTGCTGCGCTATCATTCCAGCCCCAAAACTTTCCAGAGTCTTTACACAAACATTTTTTTCTTTTGAAGTTTTCCAAATCCTTTAAACAATATTTCACAAATTTTGCAGTCCAGAAAGCAGAACTCTGGGGCTAGAGTGAGAGTACAACAGGTAGGCACTAGCCTTGCATGCAGCTGACCTGGGTTCTATCCACGGGATCCTATATGGTTCCCTGAGCATTGCCAGGTGTGACGCCAAAACCAGCAAGGAACCAGGATGGCTTCAGTAGTCCCGTTGGTCACCACTGATCTCAAAGGGATGCCCCTAGCCCTCTCCAAAGCTAAAGTTGGCTGATTCCATTGTGTTATTGAAAGATCTCCGAAGAGAATCCTGTTCATTTTTAACAGGTGGGTCCTCCAGATTCCCCTGGATAAATCACTAGAAAAGCTTAGTCAGTTTGAGCTTCAGCAGGGTGTTAGAGGCCGCAAGGGAGATGTTTTCATTGGAATCAGTGAAAGCAAAATGAATGAATAAATAAATAAATAAATAAGTGAATAAAAAAGGATTTTTCAAATTTTTCTCCTTTTTTCTGGAACTGTGTCATTTAGCCACAGTCACTTGCGCCACCTGCAGGAGATTTCAGGCAACACAGCCCTCTTGCTTTCCTGAAGCAGGTTTGATTGAGTTAGGACATGACCTTGAATTATTCACACCTCTTTAAGGCGGGAAGAAGATAGCCAAATGTCATAACGTGGGATCTCCTCACCCCTGTCAAATGCTTTCTGAAAACAAATCTCCACGACATAATGCTCACAGATAAGTGAGTTTCTTTTAGAGGAGCAGGTAGCCATTAGTTTGAAGTACACTTAATAATAGCAAGGTTCTTTTTTCAGTTTTTACACCAATGCAGTGTACATATACAAAGAAATGGGAGCTTATTGGGGGTTTTGTATCTGAGATTAAACATTATAAACTTAACCCTTGGACATCCAGACTTGACTGAGTCCATGAAGTGAGAACCTGCAGATTAAGTGCATGGTGGGGGCGAGACAGAAGAAGCCACACAGAACTGGGCCTTTGAAGTTCAGACCTGTGCTTCTCAGGGGTCAGTTGTGTCATTAAAAGGCAGTCTTGCTGCACTAAGGTTTGTTTTGAGACTCTGATGTGACAAAGTAATGGCTGAGATCCTGCCAGTAGGGTCCCTTCCCGGGCTTGCACCCACACCAGCTCCACAGGCAAGCCTTCTCCTTGGTTATCTGGGGGCCTGAGACCCCCCACCTTCCCCCACCCCTGCTGTCATAGGAGTGACTCTGGAGAGCCTCAGGGCAGTCAGAGTCACTCTGAGGCACCGTTCCCAGAGTCCTGGCCTCTTCCCACTGCCCTGGTTTGGGGAAATCCCATAGTCTCCCTGAAAGAGCAGAGATCCGAGAGGGCTCCCTTTGGCTCGAGTGCTCATAAATAGAGGAGCTGGTACCCAGGGGTGGGAATACGACCGCAGCTGTTGGGAAAATGAGAATGAAAGAATTTCAATAAAATAGGCAGCAAAACAACTTTCCTCTACTGCATCCCCTCTGCTGTCATATCCATTCACGAGTGGCAGAAGGGGGCCTGGAGTGATAGCACAACTGGTACGGTGTTTGCCTTGCATGCGGCCGACCTGGGTTTGATTCCCAGCATCCCATATGGTCCCCTGAGCCAGAAGTAATTCCTGAGTGCAGAGCCAGTAGTAACCCCTGTGCATTGCTGTGTGTGACTCCAAAATCCCCCCCCCCCCGCAAAAAAAAAAGTGGCAGGAGGACATTGGCAGCGCTGTCTTAGCTTCCCTGCCCATATACATGTTCTTATCATTTCTTTCTTCCTGCCTGCCTGTCCCCCACCGGTTAGTCCCCACACCCATACATTTGAGAGAATCCAAAGGTAGAAACAAACTGGTGAATCTGGAGGGTTTCCAGGGAAAAGGCCGAAGAGTAGCCAGAGCGCCAGCATGTGCTTTTTAGGGCCCAGTTCTGCCTGAGTGATGCTGAAATAGCCCTTCCTTCTTCTCCCTCTGCTCTGCTGCTTTCGTTGCTGTATAATAACTCACTGCTGCCTGTGAGAACCCTAAGTCGGAGTGTTGTTTTGAAGGCTACTGGAGAGGAAGAGTCCTGAGCATTCTGTGCTACTGTGGTCATTTAGGCACAGGCCATCACTCTGGTCCTGGAGCCCAGCCTGTCCTCCCTCTGTCTTCCATCCTTCTGCTTTCTGCAGGGGACCATCCAGAGCTGAGTAATCAAGTGATGCCCCCTGTCAGTTCTGGGTGCTAGTATTCCCGCCAGCTCTTGTTGCTGCCTTCTCAGGATGGAAATGGTTTCCCTTTTTCCCCAGAGCTGGCTGTCCTGGATGTGGAATGTCGGGCAGAGAGTCACAGAATGCCAGTGACTCATGTTCCCTGGCCATTGCTCACCTTTGGCCTGTGGGACTCGGCTGTCACAGTGTTTTCCTTTTTGGGTTTGCTGATAAGGCTGGTCGAATGGCTCTGTAGGCATTGATTGGGGTTGGAGGCTCCCCTCCCCTGGAAAAATTTTCTGGAAAAAGACCAGAAAAATTGCTGGTTTCTATAAAAAGAAAGAATTGCTTGAGACAGGTGTTAGGCCTGTCCTCCTTTACCCTGTTTGAAGGAGTGATGTCTCCTCACTTACCCCTCACTTGCTTCTGCATGTTCAGTTCTTGTCAGTAACCTTATAAGCAAAATTCACATTTGTAGGGGCCACAGTGATAGTACAGTGGGGAGGGTGTTTGCCTTGCACGTGGCTAACCCAGGTTTGATCTTTGTCATTCCTATGGTCCCCTGATCACGGCCAGGAGTGATTCCTGAGCACCACCAAGTGTGGCCCCAAAACAAAAGAAATAAAAAAAATTTCATATTTGTAGGATTGGATATGGGCTCAGCGACAATGTGTGTCCATGGCAGTTCTGCCTGCTCTGTGAGGCTGGGACTCTTGCTTTGGACTGAGGATGGTTCTATCAGCACTGGGACTTACAGAGCTTCAGGTGAGGGCTCTTTGGTGTGCCCATGCCATTAGGGTCAGGATGTGGTGCCTAAGCGTTGGCACGGACTCTTGTGCTCTGAACTCTGCCCCTTCAGACGATTTGGGATCTTAGCTCTTTCCTTCTCCCTTGCCCTTCAAAGAGCTGCTTCCTCCCCACACCCCTAGGAATAATAATCTCTGCAGCTGCCCTCTGTAGATCAGCTTCATATGATTGCAGTATTCTGTAACTTGGCTGTTGGTTTATACCTGAACTGTGGTTCTCCAAAGCCTGGAACCTACCCACCTTGAGGTTAAGGAGTGGAGCCCAACACAAAGGCAGCCTCACTGTGGATTTATGAAATAAGAAGTGTCTCTGATCATCCTTATATGGGCGCAAAATTCTTTCTCCTCTGATAGACCTTGGAGTTGTGGAAAAATACCCCTTCTGAGCTATATTTGAGTCCAGCGCAGGACTGAGGCACTCAGAAAATGCAATCCTGTTTAATAAGCTGGTGCCAACCTTCTCCCGGCCCCCTTGTCTCCTGATTGCTGGCTTGTGGGAGAAGGAGAAATTGCCCGTGACTGTGAGTCTCAGGCGTGGCTGGGAACGTGGATCCTGGAGGCATCTTGTCTTGGGCTGGGATCTCAGCGCTGTCCATCTCCGTGGTTTTTTTTCAGTCTAAGTTAACTTGCTGCAGCAAAGTTTTCTTATCTCTGAGAGGGGGGATAAAAATAGAACTTCCATGACCCAAGGATTTGGTGGGGGAGCAAGGCTGTGTCTTACATTTATATTCCTTTCATTTTGCAAGGAATGGTAGAGGATAATAAAAAGGGGGAATGGGATGCTTACTCTTTATTCCATTTCCCCTAACTCAGGTCTTTGCATTGAACTATTTTCCACAGGAGTCTCACTCTGCTTTTAGTCGGATATTCCATGTTGGTTTCATGAGCAATTTTTCACATGACCACCTTGCCTTCTTACTTATATTTATTGCTGTTCATGCTGCCCTTTGATTCTAAAACTCTGTCTTTAAGCAGTGATGTTTTCTCTTTTCCCTCTTTTAATTTTTCTTTTCTTGGGGGCAGCATTTTTAGGTCATGCTCAGGAGGTTCTGGACCTTCCTCACATCTCCCCCCGCCCAACCTCACCGTGACTCTCAGCCGGTGAGGCCAGCAGTTCAATGTAGGGACCTGAGGCTAAAGGGCTATTGGGGTGCTGCAGTGCTGGGCTTTGCCTGGGCCACCTGAGCAGCCCTGGGGGCCTTCAGGAGCACATCAATGGTGCATGAGAGGGGTGGGGTGCTCTGGGGCTGCCTTTCCTGGTGCTTGGGGGGGGGCCCTGTGGTGCTGGGAATCAGACAGGGACCAAATGCATACAAGGCCTGTGCCTTCACCCTTGTACTATCTCTCTGGCCCCTGTTTTATTCCTTTTATAGATGATACCACAAGGAATTCACTTGTGAATGCATCTGTGAAGATGAAATCTTCTTTACTTTGAATTATTCTTAGATTTAATTATTCATTTATTTTGGGCCATACCCAGTGGTGCTCTTGGCTCTGCACTCAGGGATCACTCCTAATCCCTTAGTAGGACGTGGGGGAACATATGGAATGCCAGGGATTAAGCCCAGGTCTTTGTCCTATCTGTTGTCCTATCTCACTAGTCCCTATTTGGATTTTTAAAAAGTTGTTGTTATTATGATGGCCTCTCAGTATCTGTACTGCAAACCATAATTTCTAGAAGTAGAGAGAGAGTAAGAAGTCTGCCATAGAGGCAGGGGGAGGTCTGGGATGGGGGGGTGGGAGGGATACTGGGAACATTGATGGTGGAAAATGTACACTGGCGGAGGGATTGGTCTTCCTTCATTGTATGGCTTAAACTCAAACATGAAAGTTTTATAACTGTTAAAAAAGTTGCTGTTACTATGTTATAAGACACTTAGGTCTGTATATAAAGAAGTACTTTTGAACACTGTCAAAACTGGATCTGCTCGTAGTTTACACTTAAACTGGAAGTAGATCTTCTTGTTTTGGGTTCATAGTAACTTCCCTCTCCTGTCTGTGGTTTGAACATCCCACAGGGCTAGAAATTGGATATTCTTCTTTCACAAATGAAGTTTGTAGAAGTTCAAGTCCTAACTTTGACGCTATTCAGTATTGATGTGTATCTCATTTCAGCATGAAACGGTGTCACATGGACAGGCTCTAATAACCGCTGGGCTGTTGCTGGGTGACTGATTTTATGGACATAATAGAGTGAGGTGCTGGTTTGCTGCTGTTGTTGATCTGAGGGAATGAGGGAGTTACAAAGATGAGCAAAACGGTTGTGTCTTCGATTGCTTTTATTCCAGTGAGACATTATTCTTCTTTTTCTCTCTTCTCTCCTTTCCTTTCCCTCCCTCCCTCCCTCCCTCCCTCCCTCCCTCCCTCCCTTCCTCTTTGTCTCTCCCAATCAGGACGCCAAGAAGAAGTATGACAAGGAGACAGAGAAGTACTGTGGCATCTTAGACAAGCACTTGAATTTGTCATCCAAAAAGAAAGAATCTCAGCTCCAGGAGGTAAGCAAGTTTCCTAGTATCTGGGATGAAGTGTTTCACTTTTACATGGTGCGGGGGTTATTGTACTGATTCTCTTTGTCAGGAAATTATAGGTTAATTCTAGGCCCTAAAGAGCTTCTCTAGTCAGGAGATTGATTGGATTCAGCATCTGACACATAGCTCGGGGGCCTTAGATTTTCCTGCCCACACTCCACGCCACACTCAGCTCCAGCCTGTGCAGAGTGGAGCAGCATGTTGCCAAACAACATCACCCAAGCCCTTTAGGGGCAGCCCTAATTTTCAGATTCACTTTTTCCTTTCAGACTGAGACCTCAGTTCTGGTTTCTCTCACCCCTGATCTTGATTCTCTGTCACTTCGATTTTTACTCCTGTTTTTTATATCAGTGATTTGAAATCCTTGACTCATTATTTCAACCAGTGCTAGAGGTTAGTCCATTTGTTTTTGTTAAAGTGCTGGGCATATTTGCTGGTGGGGCTCTCTCCTTGATTCATAGGCCTACTGTCTTTTAACTTTGTTCTCGGTAGTAGAAGGGTTGAATGGACTATTTTTTCCCCCTTTTTAAAAAAAATTAACTGTGATTTACAAAGTTGTTGATAATTGAATTTTAGTTCATACAGTTTTTTCAACACCAACACCATTCCCACCACCAGTATTCCCATATTCCCATATTTCCTCCCTACCCCAACCCCTTCTTTATCCCTTCCTGTCAGCTTGATAGGCACATTACAGAGTGCCAGTGATTACAGCTTAGAGTGCACGGTTTTGGTGTTGTTGAGTCTGTGTGTTGGATATATGGCTCTACCTCTCACACATATCTCCCATGTAACTGAAGCCCTAATGCCTGTTCCCCAGTCACTTCCTGTTCTCTTTCCCCCCCTTGCTTTCTCTGCCCTTCTTCTCTCTAAAAATTGGGGTCAGGGGTGATCTAGGAATCCCCCTTTCACTTCATTTCCAGAGGAGTGAACTTTCTGGGTCTCTCCTCTCATGTTTTGTAGTGTGTGGGGATAGCTTTGTCTCCACAGTGCTCAGTTGCCCTTCTTGGGAGTGCTCTGAGTTCCTCTGCAGGCTGACAGTCCAGTGCTCTGTCCCTGCAGTGCAGCAACTCAGACTTGGTGATGCTGGAACCCAGCAGGGCCTCACCCGCCAGTGATAAGGGTATCACGTAGTACCAGGGATTCAACTTGGGGCCCAACTCGTGCAAGGCATATGCTCCAGCACTCAGAACTATTCCCCAGCTCACTGCGGGTTAGGTTTCATTTTTATTCTTTTAAGATCACTACTACTACATTTTCTGTGCTCTTCCTCCATAACACAAAGGCACCATTTCTAAATGCCATCCCAGTAGGGATTAAGTTTTAACACTTGAATTTGGGTGTGTACGGGAAAGAGGGGCATAGACATTTAGTCTTTGTATAATACTGTTCTGGCGACTTGATCTCTTGGTCGAGAATTTTTTAATATGCTCTTTATTTATGGTTTATTTGTTTTGGTTTTGTGGTCACATCTGGTGGTGCTTGGATAGACTTACTCCTGACTCTGCATTCAAGGATCACTCCTGATAGGCTCGGGTGACCATTTGGGATGCCTGAGGTCAAACCCAGGTTGGCTGCATGCAAGGCAAAAGCCTTACCTACTGTACGATCACTCCGGCCCCTTTTGTGACTATTGACCGTGTTTTTGTCTTTGACCCATTCATTCTTCCTTAGTCCTTTGAAGGCATGACAAGGAGTGCTGGTCTTGCCAGTCTTTATTACAAGTCCTGGCCTGTTCTTCACAATCCTTTTTAGTTGTATCTGAACTGAGTTAGATGGAATAAAAGCCTAGTAACAGTAGTAATAATACGTTCACTGATAGCATCAGCAGTATTTGCAAGTGTTTATTAAATACATATTTATATGTCAGATATTGTATTAAACATGCAATCTTCTAAACTAGTCCATGAGATCCAGACCTATTCCTTTTGTGTTCTATCTATGGAGACAGGTTCAGAGATGTTCAGTAGTCCACGCCTAACCGTGGCTCTTAACCTCTGGAGCCCTTTTCCTTCACCCATATTACCTCTTTCTCCATCTTCTTAGGGACATGTGTGGTCTTATGCCACCATCTATTGTCCTTCAGTGCCAGATAGCACTAGAGAGAGGGGGAGATCTTGATGACCTTCTGGTTGGGCATCTAGGAATTACATTCAAAGGAACTGAGATTCCTGAAGTTGTGATAGAATTTCTTGTAACAATTTTGTGAGAGTTTTCTTCATTAAAAATTAGCTCTTCGAGGACAGTTATTATATACTTTTTATGAAATCTATTTGTTTTGGTAGCTTACAATTGTTCCCTGATTGCCAGGCTCTGAACTGAATACTTTGAAATTCTAGTCCATAGTGGGGAAATTCTAGGGCAGCAGTGTGAAGTGACACTGCCATCTAGTGGATGGTGTTGCAAACATCAGTGTCACCGCAGCTGAGAAGCGCACTTCCAAGGCAACATTGGTTGTTGTCTCAATAAATATTCATTGGATAATTTTGTGAATGTCTGTTCAGGCACTATTATATTGTGGGAAGTAGCAGGAACTGTGAACCTTTATGGAGCTTTCTGTCTAGAAGAATGTCTCATTTCCAAGAAGCACAGATGGTTGCTGGTTCTCAGAACAGCTGGTAGATTGAGTTTTTCAAGTTAACAGGCGCCATCTTGAGTGGCCTTTTGGGTGGGTTGGAGTCCTAGTTTTGGAGTCTATTGTGTGGTTGGGATGAGAGGCTTAAAGGCCACGGGAACCAGGGAGGTACAGAGTCAGGAGTAACCTCTGAGCATTGCTGGGTATGCTCTCTCCCCCACTCCTCCTCCCCCACCCCCCCAAGCCAAACACAGCAAAACAGATGATCTGAGGGGAGAGAAATTTAACGTTTCAGCTTAGGATTTATTCTTCCCTTTCTTTTGGAAATGCATTGAGTTATGCATTTCCTCAGAGTGCTGTGTCAGCTGATGGCAGCATAGAGATTCATTCATTCATTCATTCATTCATTCATTTCTCAGGCATCTATTGCATTCTCAGTCTGGACCAGGAAATAGGAGCAAGATAAGTAGAAAAATGATAGAAGAATTTTGCCTCATCAAACTCCTATTGTAAGAGGAAATACCCAAGAAACAAACACACCTTTCAAGTAGTGATAAGTCATTTGGGAGGTCAAATAGAGACTCCTGGGGTGGGGGGTGGTCAATCTTTGAAAAAATAAAATGATAAACGAAGGTATATTTAAAGAGGCAATATTTAAATTGAAAACAGGATGAGAAAGCGAGCAAGGTAAAAATATAAGAGTGCTCCCTAAATTGTGGGCGTGTTATGAAGTCTGACTTTCTGGGTCATGAAATACAGTTAACTAGAATACAGTTTGAAACATAAATGCTTATCACATTTGATTTTGAATATGTATTATATTCTCATTCAAAATGTTATCTCTTCTCATTTATTGAAGTTCTGATAAAAAAAAAGATTAGGAAAAGAGGTTTTTGAGCAGAATGAAGATTCATTGCAAGAAAGGGTTTCAGGATGTTAGAGAATAGAAAAGATCCCAGCTGGAACAGTAAGATGGTTAAGATGGGAGGAGATGAGAGAGGAGGGATGTGCCATCACACAGGGTCTTGCAGACTACCATAGAGGCCTAAAGGACAGTATTGTAGGGGTCTCATATTTTACTCCCATTTTGGGTTCTTTGATCTAACAACAGTATCAACAATTAAGTTGATGTAACATATTTTAGGGAGAGAAATGTTTATTTATTTATTTATTTTTGGCCACACCCAGCAGTGCTCAGGGGATACTCCTGGCTCTGCACTCAGGAATCACTCCTGGAAGTACTCAGGGGACCTTATGGGATGCTGGGGATAGAACCCAGGTTGGCTGAGTGCCAGGCAAGTGCCCTATCCACTGTACTATTGCTCTGGCCCCACGTTCATTTTATTTTCACAGGGATTCCCAAAGATATGAGGCTAATAGGGCAACTGAGGCTTAGATGCCTCCTTAGGTAAGAATGAACACGGGACCTGGACTTTGCAGGGCGGTCTCATGGGACAAGCACAAACAGAACAGATGTTTTATAATTTGGTGTTTGCCTGGCGATCTGGAGAGATCATTCAGATAAAACATTTTCTCTGGTAATAGTGCTTGTTCTGGGCCAGGTCTTCCCAAGTTCTTTTTCTCTAGGGGGTGGGGGGACACATCCTCTTATGCACAGGGCTTACTTGCATTCAAGGATCCATCCTGGAGTTGCTTGGGGAACCATATGTGGTTCCAGGGATTGAACCTTGGTCAGAAGCATGCTAGGCAATTGTCCTACCTGCTGTACTATTGCTCCAGCCCCACTCCCTAAATTAATTTAGGTTGTTGGCCCACTTTGAGGAGAATTATTCTGCTCCCCTTTCTCATTGAAGCATCCTGGTGGAGCATCTGACTGTGATTTGTAAAAACTCATTCTGGTCGCTGTGGGGAGAGTGGTCGGGGGTATGGGTGCCAGATGAGGAGCGGAAAGCAGGGCCATCAGGAGTGCCATCTCTCAGAGATGTGGTGGTGTCTTACTTGGGGTAGGAGCTGGAATTGGAACTTCAACTCAGAAGTGTTTGCTGATAACCACTGCCATGGACATAATACTTCATGCTCCGATTGTACGTAGCCTTTAGCTCCTTTTTTCTTTGAAGTAGCTCAGCTCAGAAGAGCACATGGGATCATTTCCATCATCCCAGGGTGAAGAGATCCAGAAAGGATAAGTGATGCACACGGCTGCACCAGCTATAGATTGTGCCTATAAAACACAGTACTGCACATGCAGAATTTGGCTGTACTCTCTCCGATGGTGCTGGATTCTTGTTCCTTTGCTCTGAGGATTTTCTTTCTGGCTCCCTCATCTTGCCTAACAGTGCAAGACACTTTTCACTTTTCAGTGTGTGTATGTATGTGTTACTGTTGTAGGTAGTGGTGGTGGTGGGAATCTTGGGGGAAAAAGATGTAGCTCTAAGTGTTTTTGCTGGATTTGCAAGGTAATTAAAGGCTATGATGAGCTTTTGGGACTTTGGGTGGTTACAAACCCAGTGATCTAAATAGCTATACGTGGGGAGTAAGAAAAGCATTTTCTGAAACCTTACCTTCAAGCCTTTATTTGAAAGCAAGGTTTTCTATATTTGATTACTAAAATGTGCTTTCAGTGAATTATCTACTTAGAGTTTCCCGGTCACTCTGGGAATGTTAAGGAAAGTTAAGTGACAGTGATTTGAAATGTGCATGCACAGTGATTTTCTCCCTGGGTTTCAGAACCTACTTTAGACCTGGACATACCCTCTGCCCAGAGAACAGTGTTGTTCATTTTCATTGGGTCAAAGGAGAGTGTGTCTTTGTCACAAAGGAAGCTTTAGGACTGTTTTAAAAATGCCTTTGTCAAGATCAAGATTGCATTAGGAGAATTCAAATCAGATTGGCCCTGTAGGGTTTTAAGTTTTTTTTTTCCTCTCTCTTTAAAAATCTGTTTTCATGGAATGCAACTCTTCCCAAGGGTATGAGAAGGAGGTAGAAGATAAAGGGATGATCAAGGTTCTTGGCAACAGACCAACCAACATAGAAGTCCCACTCTTCCTTGTTGCTTAATGCCAGTTGGATTGGCGCCTTCAACCTTTGTCCAGTGGGGGTTAGTTGCAGAGAATGAGATGAACACAGGAGGAGACAAACACACATGGACTGTCTAAGCTGCTTTAGGTTGCTTTATGCCTGAACAGCCATCCTTGAGTTCACGGGCCAGCTTATAATAACAGGAATAAATTGACTGCTGCTCCCCGCCGCCCCCAGGCTCCCCATAGGTAAGGCATCCTGAAAAGAGATAGTTAAAGACTCTCAGTACATCAATATTCAATAGGTACATGAAGATTAAAGGCTGGGATATTTTATGTAGCTAATCAGGAGGCAACCTAAGATAAAGTCCCTGGCAGTTTCCTGTTCTATTTTGGCTTATGTTACCCCTATATCTAAAATACCCTAAACAGCCTTATTCTGTGCTTGTCCAGTGCACATTTCAGATATTTGTCATCTGTTCTATTTTTTCCTGCTAATCTAGTCTTTCCTGGGTGCACACACGCAAAACCCTCTGTATTTTAAGACCTAAACTCTTACCTAGGGGTATATCTTATCCTTGGGGTTTTTGTTAGGTGGACAAATTCCCAGAACCTGCACTAACTGTGGCAGGGTCCTTAAAGTCACTGGGTTCATTTTCCTCCTGTAAGTTAAATTTATTATATTCTTTATGGGAATTTAAGGAATAAATGACTGAAATGAATGAGGACTGAGTACAGAAGTATATCTACAAGAATTAGTGGTTAGCCATTATTACCATTTATCCCATTTTATACTGTTTTATTTGCTTTATTTGCTCACCTTCTGAGATTTTTCTAGCCTGCTTGCTGAGTGTTCTCTTTGGTTAGTGACTTGGTTTTTGTCCTAAATTCCATCTTGTTTGTAGGCGGATAGCCAAGTGGACGTGGCCCGACAGCGTTTCTATGAAGTATCCCTGGAGTATGTCTTCAAGGTGCAGGAAGTCCAAGAGAGAAAGATGTTTGAGTTCGTGGAGCCGGTAAGTAGGTGATCAGAGTTTAATGCTGCGCCCATAATTTTAGACCCATACCTACCCAGCATGTTTCAAAATGCTCTGAATTGCTCATCAAAAGGCCCACTAGTTCGAATGCTGTGCCTTCAGCTAAGTTGATCTGGCTACCCTGAGTTCTCCCCAGTAGCCATTACGCATCTCTAGAGAGAGAGATGGAGCTTTCAGCTACTGTGCCTTTCTCCTGCTACCCTGTGCTGTGGTTTTGTTTCCCCGGTAGAAGGGGGGAGGGGAAAAGTGTTTATCTTGACGACTGAGAACTATCTCACCTTCACATACCATCTCCTGCCTCTTCCTCCTTTCTCAGATAATTGTAATGAAGTAGTAATCTAGAGAAAGAAGAGGAAATATAAGATGTCTTTTTCTTTTTGTCTCCTGAATGAAAATCACTTCCTTTCCTTATTCATGAAAGAAAAGAGAGGATTTTATATAGCAATTTTCCACCTGTAGTTTGTTCTAACCAAGCAACTAGGGGATTTGGCTGAATGAACCATGATTGGGTTTGAACTTGTTCAGAGTGTCCCGGGGCATTCTCCCTAGGTAAGAGTAGCTGTCTAGGCTAGAACTGGGCGCAGTTGATAGTCTTCTTTGATATTCCTGTCCTTGCTTTTGTTCCCGCTGAAACTTCTCTTGGAGTGGGTAGGCCTTCTCTGGTCTGTGCTGGCTCGGGTTAAAGGTCTTATCAAGTCTTAGTTCCTGTGTCCACAGCATAAGCCCTGTCAGCCTCAGGCATATTGGTTTTATTCCCCCAAACTCATTACAATGGGTGGGTGTGGGGGAGCGAGTCCCTTCTTTCTCTGCTTGCCTATATTCTTCTAAAATCACTTCTCTCAATAAAGTATTCTGTGTCCCATTTTTAGTCTGGAAGCTTTGGGGCTGCTTTTAGGCGTCTTGCTCATAGTTTCATCAAGGTTCTAGCTGGCTCTGGAACCCCATGCATCTTTAATTTATTCATTTATTTAATTTTTTAAATTTTTATTTTTTTAATTGAGTCACCCTGGGATACATAGTTTCAAAGCTGTTCATGATCAGGTTTCAGTCATACAGTGATCCAACACCCATCCCTCTACCAGAGTCCATTTTCGTCACCAATTACCCCAGTTTCCCTCCTGCCACCCCACCTTCCCCAGCCTGCCTCTGTGGCTCTAAGGCAAGCACTTTCTCTCCCCCTCCCCCACCCCTCCTCCTTTCTGGGCACTGTGGTCTGTAATGCATATACTGTTTGCTCCTTTACCTACTTTCCGCATGCAGTTCCTTTCCAGAGTGATTATTTCCAACTCTCTTTGTCATGCATCCTTTATTATATTAGAACTAAATTCTTGGGTTTTTTGTTTTGTTTTGTTTTGGGTCATATCTGGTGATACTCAGGGGTTACTCCAGGCTCTGTGCTCAGGTATTACACCTGGCAGTACTCAGGGGACCGTATGGGATGCCAGGGATCAAACCAGGGTTGGCTGCATGCAAGGCCAATGACCTATGTGCTGTACTTTTGCTCCAGCCCCAGAACTATGTTCTTGGGATTACAGATACTTCTGGCAAATTCTGTAAATTTTTTATAACTGCCTTTTCTTAGTAACCTAATACTGGGAACTTCAGAGTACACCACTTGTTGAAGTGCTCAGGTATAAATTCTCATCTTTTTGGTTAGGTGGGGTGGGACACCACCCTTCAGACAACTTTGTTGATTTTCCTGCCTAGGGCACAGTGGTGGTAAAGCCAGCCTTTGGCCTTTGGGTCAGAGGTTCACTGAAGATCCATCTTCTGTGATGATCACAATTGAAATGCAAATGCTTCCTGTTAAAAACAATTGGGGGGGGGGGGGATGAGGACCTTCCTAGCAGTGCTCCAAGCTGTATCTATTGGACCTTATGATTCAGTGTTCAGGTCTGCTTATGTGGTAGCACTCAGGTTCAGTGGTGCTTGGAAACCTCCAGAGGTTCTGGGAACCTCCTCATGGTTCTGGGAAAGGGGGCATGCGGTACTAGGGTTTTACCTTAGGGCCCCATGCATGCAAAGCATATGGTCTGTCCCTGTGAACTCACTCTCCAGTTTTGGTCATTGGTATTTTTATTAGTTTTGACTGGAATTTTTAGAGAGTCTGTTTCAATAATTTAACGTACACATAAATCAACTCTACATGATTATAGCAATAATTCTGTGTCTTCTTTATTTTTGTGAATTATGTTTTGATTGGCTAATTCTCCTTTTTAAAAATGAATTTACACGTTTTCACTTTAACCTCTCAGAGTCAAGTATTGTATCTCTTAGCTTTCTTAGGGTAGCAGATAACCCTGAAGCCTGATATACAGTAGACATGGATGCCTCATTCCTTAATAGGATACATCTAATCTTGGTTTAGCTCACTTGCATGACTGTTGATCTCTGCAGGCTTTTCCTCCTCCTCCCTTTTCTTCCTCCCTCCTCCTCCCCTTTCCTCTTTTCTCCTCCTCCCTCTTCTTCCTCCTTCCCCTTTTTTAAAAAAGAAATCTTTAAACGTCTGTCCTTTTATTTTTTGGTGCATTCTATTATGTTTTATCCATGTGTTTAGTTTCGAGAATCATATCCTCATAGGTCAGAGGGCTAGCATTATTTATCTCTCTGAACGTTAGTTAACTCATCTACAAAATGGGCATAATAATACTACCTATCTTATAAAAGTGTTCTGAGGATTAATTTTTTTGATCCTCATGCATAGAACAACTGCCAACAAGCAGCCAGCTAACAATATTTTTTTCATTTCATGGTAGAGGAATATATTAGTTTTGTCAGTTTAGGGTCTCCTCGATGTAAAATGAACCAATTACCAGTATTAACAGGGCTCACCTATTTTAATGTGTTGGTAAATTTAAAAGCACTTATTTGCTGAGTATCAAGGAGAATGCAGCAGGGCCCTGTCAACTGTGTCTGAGTTGCTCAGAGCCTTATCAGGAAGCTTGTTAAATAGAGTCAAGAGCTAAGGTAGCAGGCAGATCAGTGACCGGCTGGGCAAAGTTGGAAATAGATGCCAGAGGGATAAAAGAGTCAAAAACTACTATGTTATTAGGTCATAAAGAATGGTACCTGACATGCTGAGGAGAAAAAAGTTTTGGTTTCATAGAATGAAGAGAGAAAGTAAGAGAGGTAATTTCTCTTCTCTAACGGGAAGTGATGTAAGGTTTGGATGTTTAACTTCCAAAATGGAAGTGGAAATCATTTCTTTCTGAATATTTGCACCAACTTACAGGCTCTGGCTTCAGGGGCTGTGGCTAGGGAGAAGAGATTCAAAGAGTGAAGAAGCCACTGAGTAGAATACTCTTCAGCCTTAGAAATAGAAATCCCGAGGGACTGAGGCTCTACCCAGGTGATAGGGCCTGTTCATTAGTGGTTTAGTAGATATAGCAGGTGATTGCTTTGTACATCAAATTTTGAGTCAGTGCCCTTGATTATAGAAAAGAGAAACATGAAAGAGTAATTGATGCTATTAGCTTAAATTCTGTTTTGTACTGTACTTGTAACAAACACTTTACCTCCATTATGAAGTTAAATCCACGAAACATTTCTGAAGTTAGGTATAATTATTATTTTTAAGGGCTGGAGCAATAGCACAGTGGGTAGGGCGGTTGCCTTGCACACCGCTGACCTGGCCAACCCAGGTTCAATTCCTCCGCCCCTCTTGGAGAGCCCGGCAAGCTACTGAGAGTGTCTCGCCTGCATGGCAAAACCTGACAAGCTACCTGTGACGTATTCGATATGCCAAACACAGTAACAAGTCTCACAATGGAGACGTTACTGGGCCCGTTCGAGCAAATTGCTGAACAAGAGGACAGTGCAGTGCTGTTATTTTTAAATCTGCTTTTAGATGAAGAATTGGAGGTACACTTATTTATCCATAGTCACACTTAATTTAATGAAGAACTGTAATGGTAGGTTCCTCAATCTCTATGAAACACCGTTTCATTTCTTACTATTAAAAAGGAAACCAGTAAGAAATCCATTGAATTAAATTGTTGGGGTACCTGATGTGGTTATTAATATTTTGTCTTGGTTGCAGTCAAAGTAGAATCTTCTAGCTGTTCAAGGGCCATACATGCACACTATTTCATTTATTTCTTAGAAAGTAACTTCAAGTACTAGAACATTGCTAACCTTCAGAAAACAGAGACAAATTTTTAGTGTTCCAAGGAAGGAAGGCCGGACTTCTGGCATCTAAATAATATATTTTTTCTTTTTTTGCCCTGGAAGCCTTTATTTTCATATTGAGGTACTAAATGTTCTTGAGATTTGGATTGCGTAAAATGATGTACTGACTTCATGAAAGTGAAGTGAAGTTCTATCTATTCCCTGAATTTCCATAATTGAAGATCACCTAGTGCTTAGGGCACTCAGTTTTGACTTTGCCAGACCCCACATCCTCAAAGTGTTATCTCCTCTTAGTGCCTGCCCTCCCAGTCCCTTCTCCTACTTCTGTCTATCCGCAGGTCTGCATTCTTTCACCTGTATTTCATCCTGGACCTCTGCCTTCACTCCAACTGGAACCCAGTTATCCTGCATTTTCTAAAACATCATTCTCATATTTCTCTTGGTGAGCACTGTCTTGCTTGTTCTTCTGTGCAAGGCCCATTCCACAGATGCTGAGTTTTTACTGCAAGGGTGTTAGCTGGCATATCAGGTCTGAGTTTTCATACTCTGCTGGCTCCCATTCTTTTTGTTATGTGAGTGAAGAATATTTGGAAACTCTATTCATTTGTTGAATAGAGTTGCCATCTGTAACCAAATACTACAAACAAATTTATTGTCTCATAGTTCTACAAACCAAAGAACAGGTTACCAGCAGGTCTGTGTTCCTTCTGAATCCAGTAGGGAAGTCTTCTTTTTTTTGGCTTCAGGGATTAGCTGGCATTGTTTGCTATTCTTATCCATACATCACTGCAGCCTGATGACTTTATGAATATTTTCTTATGGTCTCCCTCCCTCCCTCCCTCCCTCCCTCC